TTGCGGTACGCGGGCCTCTCACTGTTGTGGCCTCTCCTGTTGCGGAGCACAGGCTCCGGACGCGCAGGCTCAGTTGCCATGGCTCATGGGCCCAGCCGCTCCGCGGCATGTGGGATCTTCCCAGACCGGGGCACGAACCTGTATCCCCTGCATCAGCAGGAGGACTCTCAACCACTGCGCCACCAGGGAAGCCCCTGGGTTTACTTTTAACAATGGTACTTGGCATGAACTTAGTGAGTCCTTTCAATCTGGAAACTCTGCTCATTTTCTTGAGTTGTTTCAGTGGCTTCCTCCCTTCCATTTTCTGTTCTTTCTTTGGAGAATTTTTGTCATTCATATATTGGACCTTCTGGTCTAGTCCTTTGATTTTTTTGCCCTTTATTTTCCATCTTCCAGTCTTTTTGCTCTGTAGGAAATTCCCTTGCCTTTGTCTTCTAACCCTTTTATTGAGCTTTTCATTTGTTGTCTAGATGTTTCTTTCACAAAGATATAGATGTATCTGTGTGTATGTAAAACATATATACATACACATATATAATTGGTTTTTATCCTGGTTGAAATATCTTCTCTTCCCTTTGAGAATGTCAATGGTCATTTAAAAAATTCTCCCTGCATGGTGTCTCTTTCCTCCATTACGGTTTGTTTCTGGTGTTTTTCCTGAATATGTCATTTTAGAGACTCATAATTTTTGCCTTTCTGCTCAGATATAAGAGTGGAAGCTAGCAAAATGGTTAGAATCTCTGAGGTTCTGGGTAGGGCTTGTCACAGTGAGCTGCTCAGTGTGGCAATCTAGCTGGGCCATTTAGTTAGGTAATCTCTGTTGTCAGTGTCTTTAGGTCTTCGTGGTCTAGTCATATTCACTGGAGCAAGCTCAGCTGCTCTGCCCAAAATGTAAAGGTCTATCAGCATTATGCTGTGTTTTCCCTGAAGTCCATGTGTTTTTGTTTTTGTTTTTTAATATAAATTTATTTATTTATTATTTATTTTTGGCTGTGTTGCTGCGTGTGGGCTTTCTCTAGTTGCGGTGAGCAGGGGCTACTCTTCGTTGTGGTGTGCGGGCTTCTCATTGCCGTGGCTTCTCTTGTTGCGGAGCATGGGCTCTAGGCGCTCAGGCTTCAGTAGGTGTGGTGCACGGGCTTAGTTGCTCCATGGCATGTGGGATCTTCCCAGACCAGGGCTCGAACCCATGTCCTCGGCATTGGCAGGTGGATTCTTAACCACTGCACCACCAGGGAAGTCCCTCGTGTGTGTTTATATCTGCATA